TCCTGAACACGGGCTTCATCCCATGTTCCCTTGGCTCTTAGTCGCTCCCACTCAGCGTCCAACGCTGCTTTGGCCTTCGGAGTTCGAGAAACCTCGTCGCGAGGAACAAGCCTGGCAACTGCACAGAAAAGCTCGAATGCGACTTGGAATTCGATTTGCTTGATGTGCTGCGCGATAAGCTCCCGAATCGGAAGACGATGCGGCTCAGGTTGATCAAGCACTTTCCGCGGCATTGCAGGTGCTCCAAACCTCATCTGCGGCATGGGCACGGCTTCCCAGCTGGTACTTGTGTCCGAAACACAAGGGCTTCGGCATGAACCGAGCTGAGAAGAAGTCGCTGGACTTGTGGTCTTTGAACCTTTGCTGGAGGATGACTTTGCTTCGTCCATTTCTTTCAGCAACTTTGCTCGATCTTTCGGGCCGAGCGTTTTCCAATAATCCGATGGAATGTCCTTGGGGCGTTTGCTGCCTTTGTACGTCTTCACCACTCGAAGACCATCCCAATGGTAACCTTCAGGAATAGGGACCCCGGCCGGCGTAGTGTCGGGCTTGTAGTCCTCGGCTTTGTCAGCTGCCGTGACTTCAATTTCGGGTTCCACACCCCCCTGTTCAAGTACACCGTCTGGAGCTTCGGATGGTGTGTACTCTGCGAAGTCAGCATCCGCAAGCGGAATCGGATTGGGAGACTCGATAAGGTTGAGCTTTGGGTCATCAGGAATAGCTTCCTTACGATCTTGTTTGACACGCAATGGAAAACTAAAACCGCCTGGAAGGAGCTCAATTTTCTTTGTCCTCTGGATCGTCAAACTGTTGTGTTCAACATGGTAGTCTAGTGCTTCCAACTTTGCAACTAGATACTCCCCACGCCATTTGTGCCCTGGCTGCACATGGTAACCAAGAAACACGCCTTCCACTGATGTTGGTGACAGCTTTCCTGCTGTTTGTCGGCTCGATTGGGGTTATTCCAGAACAGGACCTTTGCACCAAACGGAATGGCCATACCTTCAAACATTTCTCCAAAGCGCAGTTCCCATGGGCTTGGAGATGAGTCCAGCTGATCACTCGTGTTTGTTGCCATTGCAAAATGTTGAATGGCGAGTGGCCAGTACTGGAGGGGCATTCCGGACTGAACAAGATTGGTGCGTGCTCCCTCAAGCATGTTCCTAACTTCCCTTTCGATGAAGCTCTTGGAGGAGTCCACGTACTCAACGGAGGTTTGGTGGCGATACCCTAACTCCTTGATACCAGCTATCAGCTCACGGGAATTGTCAGTGTAAATGACCTCTACTGCATCATCCGGGGCTACAAAATGCTGAAGAGCAATCACTACCTCATCCGAACTCTTTGACTGGGATGGGTAAATACTCCGGAACTTTGTATGCAGGTCTTTCACAACCAAAGCTACCCGTTCGCCACGACTCCCTTCTTCGATGTTCGCGCGCACGACGACGTGGTCGGCGATCAGATGATCGCCGAAAGCCTTAGTCTGAATGCGGCTTTCACCCCCTTTCTTTCGTGCCTGTGGTGCAAGCATCCTCGCTCGCTGACACACTTTGCAGAATGGGTTCTTGGGGAAGTGGTGATACTGGTGTTTTGCGGACTGCGCTTCACGCATCAAGTCTCCAACTTTTCTTGATCGCACCAAACGGCTCTCTTCGTCGTCTGGCACTTCCTCGTCAATGCCCTCATCCTCTTTCTTATCCGATGGGCTCGAGATTGCTCCCGGCATAGCAAACAGCTTCTTCAGAGGCTTATCCTTCTTGAACTTGCCCTTTCCAAAGACTTTGCACTCGGAGTCGAGGACTGGGACATGACCATCAACACGAAGTTGAACGATTTTCTCATCTGGTCGCACAAGGATCGGAGTACCGTTTGCTGGCCACACGAAACTATACCCTTGGTCAAGGCATTTAATGCCAACTGAGAGCACAGCCGGGCATTCATCCAGCAAATACGGCGTGCAAGGCTCCAGCAGCTGCTTCATCTTGACATCAGCTACCTCGCTGGCTTCGGTCGACCCATTTGCAGTAATCAGACTGATGGTGTGAGGAGCCCGTCTTGGGTTCTCCGCACCAGCAGCATCCATAACTTTTCTGCTGAGGAGGTCTTGCTCACTCCCGGAATCGACGAGCCATGAGAACCTGCCTTCCCTTGGTGCTGGACCAGCAACTATTGTCGGGATGGTAGTAGGACATGTTTTCAACTTGATCAAGCTTCGACACTCACGACAAGTAAGCGACGATTCGATGCACAGGAAACGACATGAGGGCACTGTTGCGCTATCAAAGCTTCGAACAACTTCAGCCAACTGCCTAGCTTTCACCTTGGCCATGTGGGCTGCCTTTGGGTCGCTCTTGGGCACGCGATCGCTCGTGGCAAAATGCACACTGTACTTGCGCTCACGCTTGACCATCTTGCAATGTTCCCCGCGAGCAGGGATGGTGCGAATTTCAGGTTTCATAACGAATGTAGTTCTTCGGACAGACGACTTAGACCTCTTTCTCGCTGGAGGAAGACAGGACTTCTTGAGACATGATCGTCCGGGCACACCAGTTGCAAGACATGCAAACCGATTGCTCAGGCAAATGGCAGCCTTCTTGGTATCTCCTTTTGCCTTTGGCTTTGGGGAATCCTTTCTTGGCTTCGTTTTCGGAGCCGGTGCAGCCTTTTCTCCATGTTTGAAAAAGCACTTGTCTCCTCTTCTGCATGTACCTTGTTGATCATACCTGCATGGGGTCTTCACCATCTCTTCCTTAGTCATCCGCTTCTTTTCCTTATCTGTGCTTTTGTCCCTCGACTCATTCCGCTCCCGGGATGGTTGGCGCTTCTTGGAAGGGTCACGCTTGGGCTTTTCATGCTTGAACTTGCAATCTTTCCCTTTTGCACACTTTCCCTCCAAAAAGGCCCAACAAATGCCCTTTTCCCGAGAAGTGGATCGTCCGCGCGATGGCGAACGCTTTCGCCGAGGATCAACAGTAGGGGCTGCATTCTTCTCATGTCGATCACCTGGCTTGAGCCGATTTCGCTCCGCGATACGTGATCGATTCTCACGAAGGCGTTCCCGATCTATCAGATCCTTGATGCTTTGCAGTAGGAACTTGTAAGACCGATGATGGTCACCTTCTTTTAAATTGCACGATCGAAGAGATCAATGTCGTACCTCAGGATTGTGCTAGTGCGGATCTGCCTTAAAAGGATGTCTCGAAGCACGTTTTCACGCGGTGGTTCGGGCATACCAGCGATGGTAGCGTCCCAGCGGTTGATGAAACGCTTCAAGTCCGCTACAGTATCGCCTACCTTTACCACATTAAGGAGATCTTCAACCCTGTAGAGGCTACCCGCTTCTTCCGAGGTCTTGAAATAGTCATCGAACATGAGAAGAATCATCCTTCCTCGAACCTGGATGCCTAGCTTTGCCTTCTCTTCTTTGTAATTGATGATTCGGTTTGCTAGATCACCCTTTGCACTTCTGGTCAGTGCAGCTGCCAACTTGGTATCCAACGTTGTGAACTTCCCAGGGTTAGACAACCGCTCTTCCAGAACTTTCCTCTCATCAACAGTGTTGTAAACCTCCATTAACCAGTCCCAGGCAGCATCTGGTTTGTCAGAACATGACTTGATTTCGTCCCTCACATGATGTTTCCACTGCCGATAGGTTTCAGGGGTTGGCATGTCATTCAACTTGATATGATCTGCCTCCTTTACCTTTGGCTTCTCATCTGACTCTCTCTGTGTGAGTGACTTGACCAATTCAATCACCTGCTCAGAGGTGATAGCACCTGATGACGCTGGCTTATGGGGTTCGCGAATTGAAGGTGCAGGGCTATGGAACAAATTTGTCGGTGTTTTGCCCCCATCCGCTGCTGTGCCTCCGTAAACTGGAAGCACGGGCTTGAAAGGAGCAGCTGCCCCTGGTGGGGCATCACCGATGATGGTGGCCGTCGGCGCTTTGGGTGCGAACAGTCCACTCAAACGTGCAGTAGCCTCTGCTGCAATGGTCTCCAGAGGATTTTTCCTCTTTGTGTCATCATGCCTAGGGGTAGACACTGGTGTGTTCATGACACTTGTTGGATGGTACTCTAGCTCGGGTCCAGCATGCATTTTGACTTTAAGGTCATCGAGCATTTGCTGCAGGCTATAGTTTTCATTTTCTGCGTCGCGTAGCTCACGTCGAAGCTGAGTTTCCCGCTCATCAAACTCTGCACGAAGCGTTGCCACACCTTGCTCGGCACCGCTGGTGATGGCAGTGACAGTTTGCTGACAATCGTGCATGAGCTGAATGCGCAAGGAGTCCAGTTCTGCTTTTCTGGCTTCAGCTTCAATGGACCTTTCACTCTCTAGCTTAAGGATTCGTGCTTTTGCGGCACTTAGTTCCCCTTGCACTTGGTTGTGGCTAGATTGAGCTTGTTGCCTTACCGAACTGAGTTCATCATGATGCTTGCTCGCTACTTCATCGATTGCTTGACGAAACTTGGTTTTTACCATTTCCAACCATTGTCCCATTATCTCTTTGTGCCTTCTCTCTGCCTCAGCAATAATAGCATCTTCGTTTCCGTTGTACACTTGTTGGATGTTCTGCTGAACGAACTGAAAGTAAGCTGTGACAGGAGCTGAACCCATGGGGTCATCTAGATCCACCGTGGGCTCAGTCATGAGACCGGCTGGGACTGCTACCGATGATGTACCGTTCCCAGGAATAGCAAGAGCGTCCATGGCTGTGGTTAGAGCACTACGGCTGATAACCTATAGAAACAGCCGTTAAGCTGCAACTCCTGTTTTGGGCCGCGAGCTGCGAAGGTAAAGTCAACATGACATCCTACTATGTGCAAGGTACAAAATGTACATATTACATGGAGTGAAAATACACAAATGCTTTCGAAAACCAACGGCTTGCTTGATGTGACACGACTCTTCCTGAAAGTGTCAAGGAAACTGTCGGATTTCAGAGATTTCGGTACTCATCGCCGTGTTCCAAAGGGAAGCGGCCAAGGGCCCCGGACGCCCCAGTCTCCGGAATGAAGCTATCTACCTCAACAGGACCACCATCCCTCGGTGTACCCACAGTGCCAACACTGAACAAGAGAGGGATAAAAACTCTGGTGCCGGATGGTGCCAGTAATCTGCCCCTGGCTAGAGTATTCTTGGAGAGGATGGCACTCTATGGCAAACCAATGATTAAGCTACTGCCGCCTTGAAGCATTGGTTTCCTTGAAGCCTCGAGCAAACCAACTGTCGCTATGCTTCCGTACTACCCACCAGGCTCCGCACACTCACCATGCTCTCAATCAGTGTGATTGCCTCAAAGGCTTCGTTTCACTTGAGCAAAAAAAGATGTTGTTTTCTTTTTTTCGCCCGCTCGGTCCTGCCTCCTTACTTGATTCAGTAGGCGCCTACTCAATCAAGTAAGGGCTAGGTTAGCTCCTAGTAACTGGACGCAGGATAGCTCACGCTGAGGCTGGGGGGAAGTAATGATTTGGTTCCTAGATTCATGGGCATGCATGAGCTGCTCGGCACATACAAACAGGTGATACCAGTACCTCTCGCCTGTCAAATGCTTCTCGTCATCTGCTGGACGAAGTCACCGGCGATTCCTAAGAAGCCCGACAGCTCCACCACGGCTGCTTCGTGTAGACCTTGTGGCACTCACGGAGTGTTCAGATGCACGCTTGCCCTCCTGGCGCTTTTTGTTCGTGGCGCCAGCAACCGCGGGTGGTCGGGGTGCTTCGTCCTTGTGGCAGTTCACAATGGAAACCCATCGACCGTCATCGACCTGCGAAGGAAAAGTAAAATAGCATCAAAGGGCTTCCATGTTGTTGGCACCTTTGAAGATTGTTGGCGCTATCAGAGCCCAGCTGCACCATACCATGACCATACCTTGAAAAAGGTAGGGAAGATGGCACTGGAATGCTGGCTATCAGAAGACTCAGAAGACTTATGATTCCCTCCATCTGAGATTCTGGGGTCAGAAATGTAACGTGTCGCATCTCTCCGCCCGTTCTCCTCGGACGACCTTTTGGGCGGAGCACCTGGTTGGAACAAAGTCGCATTGAAGAAGAGTAGCCCAGCAGCTAAATGGCAGCTAGCAGCTAAAAATGCTAAAGGCTCAAGACTTACTGGTAAAATATATATTGAAGATATCAGTTGCATTCATTTATAGCTGCCCTGCGACTGACTTCTGAGAGTCGCACTGGCTATGATGGCGACTCAAGAGGTTCATGAATCGTTTTCACAAAACTTGCGGGTACGACATGGATGTCAATGTTTGACAAGTTGCTGATCCGAACCCTGGGTTGTGGCTATTTGGTGGAAAGTTGAAATCGGCAACACGGCTAAGAGAGAGAGAGAGAGAGAGCACTTTGAATCTGCATCGGCAAGGCGTGTTGAAACTCTTCCAAAGCACCAGAAATCCATGGCTTTGCATGGGAATAAAATGGAATCAATGACCATGGCGATTGACGCAACACCCCGGACGTGCTAGTGCTGTGGGACACTAGAGTAGCGTCGTCCCATCGCCGGACTGGGCCCAGCACCACAGGCATCGCCCAACCTAGGGGTCGGGCACTCGACCGGTCTCTGCGGGTCAGGAAGCAAGTCGGAGATAGAAGGGGTTGACTAGTTGACTGACTAGTTGGGGAAAAGAAACATCCCAGGCCCAGCAACTGCGGAATCCCTGAAATGACTGAAGAGTCCACTTCTTGGGAAATGAATGGAATCCTTAACACTGTTCCTATGTGTTCCTATGTCCTATGGTTTGTAGTTTCTAGGGCCAGAAGTCTGACAATTTGACATCCATATCCCTGGTCCTTGGGTCGCAATAGCCTGGTCGATCCGCAAGGGGGCGCCTTTCAATCAGTGTGGAAAGCGTGCGTCCTTTGCGGGTGAGTCTTGCAGTCCAAACGGTTCAAGGCCACGGCAGGGCTCCCTGGTTGTCGATGTCCTCAGTTCCATGGCAATGTCCATGGGTCAAGCAAATGCTCAACGTGTTGCCTCCACAAAACTGCCACTTGAAACAATTGTCGGGTCGAATCTCTACATTCAGTCCAAACACCTCAAGAAAAATCCAAATGCTTCATCGCGGGCACGGTGCATATTTCACCGTGGGTGGTAGGCTGGCAGCACATCCCATCTTTCCTGCTTGGCGCACCGCCAGTGGAAGTTGTGCCACGTTGGGGCAACGCCAGTGGTGCCCCAGAATCATCTCTTGCTTTTGACACTAACAAATAGTTGATGATCCATGGTCAAAATGCTGCGCCTTTCAAGCTGATTTGGATGCTCTCATTGGGCCTCCTTCTAGTGGCGTTATGAAAAGCAACCAAATAAATCACGAAACTCTGGAACGCAAGTCCACCCAGAAAGCCCACCTGGAGCTCCACTCCCGTAGCAAGATGTTTCAAGGTTTCAAGTGGCCTCTACGGTTGTCTTGTGTTGTTGACATTCTAAGATTGTTACATAGTGCATAAGCTAGCTTCGAGTTGAGGGTATGCGGCCCATCTAATGCTCTAATGGATCTTGATACCCTCTCTGTAAAATGGAAAAGAACCTTCTGCTGCTGCACGTTAAGAATCTCTGTGACCTTCTTAGTGGTCCACTGCAACTGCTATCTACAAAAACACATATATATATATATGAGAACTGATGAGCCCAAATGGCGCATGGCAAAGCTTCCTGCAAACGTTCAATCGCCGAAGCTGCTGAAAGGAACAGAAACAGCTCTTGCTGCAGAATGAGTCCAGCAACAATCCAGGTCGAATTGATCCCGAAATGGTTCAAAGCGGCCAAACTCCTCGCCAACCCAAATGGTGGAGGAAGCAAAGACTGACATGCTGTCTAATCTTATTAATCAACTGGATTGGTTGATAAGGCTGTAGGCACTGTAGGCCTCTGAGGTGCCCCGAAAACCATCCAAAAAAGGCCACAAGCGTGGATAAAATCGGAAAAAAAAGAACAGACACCTGTCCCTTGAACTGGATAAACAGTCACACATTGTTCAACATGATATTTCAAGAAAAAACAAATCCTGACCTCACCCAATGGTTATATAACCCCAAAATACCCCAAATAGATATGTCTTATCCTCACTTACAACTCAAAACAGGTCCAGAACCTCCATATATAGCAACTGGTCGGACATGGTTTGCAGTCACTCCCAACCAATGCCTCCGGTGCTTTGGTAAGGCTCCCTTCGCCGAACGATCTTAGCAGCCACATCAACATCCCCCAACACTCAGGAGATGTGAGGCGATCAAGACTCAAACTTGCAGCTTGGCATTCACAATATTTGTCCATCAACGATCGTGTAGTATCAAAGTTTCTGACGCAGGGTGCAACGAACCCAGCGGCTATGGGTTAAAAAAGCAACGCAGTGCAGGCGAACCGCAGTGAACAGCAACATCGAATTGAATTTGATGTTCATCACCCCCCAGCGGCTTACGTGTTGTGGTTTGGACGGCTGCAGCGGGGCCTGCAGTCTCTGGGGCACCCACTCTCCTAGCAGACTGGCTGTGTAGGTGATTGGGTGTGCCTGCCCGATGACAAAGAAGCATTCAATGAGAATTTGCTAGAAAACCATAGTTGTCTGGATATCACATGCAAAACGGCAAGCAGCAGCCCAAACAATTATGATTGAGCACACAGACCCCACTCTGTCGGGCAATGTTTGTGGATGACAGTTGGAGGATGTTGGAGGCCATCGCTTCTCTGCAAGCGGGCCATCTCTCCGTCCAGTATTCTGGAGTCATTCCCAGATCCAAGAGGGTGGAAGGAAGGAGTCCTGGTATATAAATCACTCAGTGGCTGGGTCTTAGACGGCCGTTGGAACCTATAATGAAAAAAAAACAAGAGAGACAGTTTGGAGGCCATTGCTAGTAGGTTGGAGGCCATTGCTATTAGGAAACTGTTCCCCTCTCTGGAAGGTGTTCCTGCAACTTGCTGGGTCTTCACTCATGGTCGCTTCCCAACAATCGCACCTGGAAGTCATCAGGACCTCAGCATCTTTAAACAAAGTAAAACTCTGCATGCGAGCGCCTGAAAAGAAGTTGAGCCAAAAAAAATCTACATACATGTTTGCAGTCCCCACAATGAAGCACAAACAGCACAATGAGCTTTGACAAGCACAACCAAAGAATGAACTGAAAGGATGAAGGATGATAAAGGCGACCTTTGTTGGGTTATTCCATTTAACACTTGGACCTTGTTGGGTTGGACCTTCAGGGCTGAGCTTCATGCTCACCACGCCCAACGAGCACAGGGATTCTGGAAGAGCAAAGATTCCTGGCAAAGGTGCTAAATCAAGCAGAACTGTGCGAAATCCACATGGGACTGGTCCAAAGGCGACAAGTCCAAAGGCACAGGACAAGCACTCCTGGCAGGGTCCAAAGGCGTCACCGGATCAGTTTCGACCATTGGACAACCTACCCTTGAGAAGCGTGAGGGACCTTCTGCTCAAAGACTTGCGGATCGAAGCACGGGTCAAACCGGGTGAAGTTCAACTCCCTTCGTGAGGCTGAGGCAACCGCTAATAGAAGCACCGGTGGTGCAAAGCCAACTTCAGACAGTAAAGAAAGTAATTACACCGGTGATGTCATCGATGTCACAAGCTGTCTGGTCGCAGAAGAGACTACCTGGAAAGCAATGGATAACTCAAAAAATTCCCGGGCAAAAAGCTACTGAGCTGTGGTCGCAGTTGTAATTTCTGCGCTCATTAAATCTCTTAGATCAGTTTATCGTGCCCTTGTTCAGTCGTTTTGCTCTGGCCTTCTGTTGCCAAAGTAAGGATTGTCCAGCAATCACGGTCCTGCACGAATCATACCAAGCACAACTCAAATCTTGCTATCAAAGACTATGCATGTGCAACAAACCAATGGTTCTTAGTTATTATATAGCGTCTTTCATAAGAAAATCGATCACATCTTGCATAAGAAATGGAAATAGTTGCACTTACATTGGTTGGGAATCCAAAACCTGGTCCTCTTCTGGACCCACAAGGGCCTCCACCTTCACGGTCACCTCGGGCGACACATGCTGTGATTGGGCTCGCTTTAATTGTAGCATGTTGTAGCCTAGTTCTTCGAAGTAGATAGCAGCAAACGGTAGCTGGTGGCTACGTCTAGACCTGAGGCCTTCAGTTTGCATAAATCAAAGTTGTCATTACAATTCAGTTGAAGAGGAGCGGCCAACGAGAGATTGTTGGAATGGCAATAATCCTGCCTGCTCTGCAACTTAACGAGGACCAGTCAAAGAGTATATTTGTTTGAGGTTTGATGGTATTAAAAAACGTGCTGCACACAAATCAGGTTGTTTGCCTGAACTCATACCGAGATCATGGAGCTCTGGTCACACCTACTGAGCTGTTTATCCAAATGCTACAGACTCGCTCATGCGAGCCAGTCGCAACCGAAAACCATCGCTGTGTTCAAAGGTCCAAGTGGCCGCTAAGACTGTGGAGGGGGGAGCATCACCTTCGAACAAGGGTTCCTTCTCCTGCCACCGTCGTGCAACGATCCAGAGTCCCTTCGAGATTCGATGCGATTGAACTAAAGAGCTTCACCTGAGTGATAGTGCACTTGACCTTCGCACGTTCCAAAGAAGCAATGTTTGAACCAAGCAGCTGTTTGACAACTCTTCAAAGCTTCGCATATAGCTTGACGAGATGGTTCAACATTATGCATGAGGCTTGACAAAATGTCGTCGTCGTCAAGAGAGAGAGAGAGAGAGAGAGAATCTTCAACCAACAATACCACTACAAACCACTACCATGCTCTCCAAATGCTGCATGCGGACAGTTAACAAATGACCGCACGGCAGCAAGCCGCAGTGCGGGCCATCACTCTCTCCAAATGCCCCAAACAAGAGGTGAATCTGCGGAGTTTAGGATTGACACAATCAAAAGAAAGAAGAAGTAATGATCCCACCGATGATCCTTGAATTTGGTGTTTCTTTGAAAACGCTCCATTTTTCGAACCAGCGTCTTTTATGGAACTTTGGACCCTTCAGCGCTCACCGCATCGTCTCACTCGGTCTCGCCCCGTCGGGATCTTGCCTTCGGCACCTCGGTCGCTGCTTTGTCCTTCTTGTCCTTGACCAGGAGGGCAGGGAGAGAGGGTTCAAATAGTGTTCTATATACATTCAACAAAAAGTTATTTTAATCTATTTTACGATGGTGTTCTACCCATGACCTTGAGGTCATATTGCACTCTAGGGCAAGTCAGAACGTGTTGTCCATTGGAGATTGCATGACTGACTTGCCAACTTGAATGAGTGAATCTAAGTCCAACAAGAAGCTCTTCCAGTTTGAGCCTTCTTCTTGGGATCGTCGGCTTCATCCTAGGGCAAGATGGTGTGGTGCTTTGACCCACGACATTCCACCCATGGTCTACTCAAGGAAGCCACGAAGCATATTGCAACATATTGCAATGTCGCTTGACAGCAGGCCTCTTGGGTGCTTACCCGCGCCCATTCCATCTGTCCGCCAACACCAAAAATTGGCTGCGAGCAACAACCAAACCCTGTCAACCCACATCAACGATGCGACACAAAGCTTTCACTCACTAGCCTGACGTGAAAAAGAGACATGCAAAGTTCCCTCCAAGCTCCCGGCATCCTTCCACCATCTCGCATAATACTCTGGCACCAAATTAAGTTCCAGGTCCAACGCCACCTGAAGCGATTGCCCTAGTTGCGCTGCTTTGACCCAAACGGCCAGGCTTTGCAGGTTCTACACCGAAGCAACGTCGTCTGCTGGGAGCAGCGCGGAAGTCCTCCACATTAACTGTCCTTTGTTTTTTTCAATGTCGGACCCATCAACACGTGTCGCATTTGGCCGGAAAACACGAAAAAATACAATTGGGCTGGGCTTCTTGCCGGAATTCCACTTGGAAATGTTTGGACCCGCCGTTCTTTGTTGTGATGAGAAGCCAAGCTCATTTCAAATGGACACTCCGGATACTTTTTATATAAGTTTATGGCAAGTTGTGCCATTCATTCTAGTTCACATTGTTTCTGAATGATTCTGTATCGTTCTCACACTGCGATCTCCTCCCCACTTCGATTTGTCTGTCTTCATGTTCGGTTTCGCTACCACCGACGCAAGACGACGCGCCTCTGTGGCATCGTGCAAGAGGGGCACCAAGCTGATCTCCGCACTACCGATGAGTGCATTCTCTGCACCCGCATCGCGAATCGAGATCACCAAAGGCCTCTCCACCACATCATTGTAGAGATCCTGTGGGTCTCTGAGGCTTCACAGTTGGTCGAAACAACTGGTTTCGGACAGCTTGCCACACAGCAATTACAGTACCTTACATCACCGAGATCATGCTCACAAAACTCACCGAAATCGTGCTCCTTCAAACAAGTCATGGATCCTCAGAAAGCACTTTTCGTGTCCATCCCAAATCATCGATCTCATTTGCAGGCTTGTAGCAAAGCAGAGTTTCGAACTTGATATGACAACTCTTTACACTTGCTGGTATCAGGAGGGTGTCAAGTTCCTTGATCTGAACCTCGAGCAAAGCTCACCAATGACGGTGTTCGATCATCTCCCAACTTCTCCTGATTCTGTAAGCGAATCACTGAGTCCTTGGTGAATTCCTGGGCAAACCATTCGGCGAAAAGCATGTCTCGACGGAATAAATCTGGGAAAGATGATATCCCTAGGCCGAAATGTGTTTTCTATATATATATATATGTACACACACATAGATGAGAATCACCTTCAAATGCCAAACAGAAACATATCCATATATATATATATATATTTGGCTGAATGCTGTCAGACTCCTCCAAGTGTATATATTCTAGAATGCATTGTTGCTCAGTTCTGGATCTCTCTCAGCAAACACAAACAACTTGAGATTCTCATGACCAAAGTAGTGACCGTGCTTCTCTACTGGGGCGAGAACCCAAGCAGATGGCTCGGCAGAGGGGCCGGTCCTTGGTAGCTCAAGATGCACCCGGAGAAATGCCTAAACAGCGTTCGATTTGTTTGGACCGTTCGGGGTCTTTACAAATTGCCATCCAGATGTCTAAGGATTTCCAAACGATTCTGATGACCTTTGACTGGAACAGTTCCATGATGTTCCACGTTTTCTTGAAATGAGATTGGTGACAATGGGGGAAACTCTGGGAAAGTCAGCCCTTGGTGTGGTGATGTGAATATGTTTGAGCTTCCTAGGTCCTGTCCGACCTGTCCTCTCTTTGAGATGTCTTCTCCTTCTTTCTTGTTACTGTATGTCTTGTTGTTTTCTATTCCTCTCTGTGTCTCTTTCTTCTCTTGTGCCGCAGCCTCCATGTGGATTTAAAGTATTTGAAACGCTCCCAAAATAGGTATGGCCAGGAAATAGCAAACAATCCGCTTGCTATGCTGTTTTCAGTTGTCCTCCAATCGTTATCATCTACCATCGAAGAATTCTCAGCCTTTCCATACAGTCGCTGAAGCTGCACTGGGCTGATGTGAGTGAATTCCCCCAGCAACATGAACCTTCCAAAGAAGGACAAGTAGCCGGAACTCCTTGCAGAAGCCCGAGAAGCCAAGCAAGGTTTGTAACCTTGGTACTAGTAGCAAAACGGGATCTTGGAAGCTGGAGCGAAGAAAGGATTGATTCTTCAAAGTAGTGCAGGTGTAAAGTTTTACAGGCATTTAGGAGCCTAAAACTGTGATGTGTGGATCATCCCAAGTTGTGGATGTGTTTGGTTTTTACACGATAGTCATTGCAAACAGTCTAAATCATGGCCCAAGATCCTGAGGTCAAAACTCTCCAGGAAGATTCTTGACACCCTCTGCACTGAAGTTGAACACCACCTGAAGTCGCTCAAGCCAGGGCCCCACGATTCTCTCCAAAAAGCAACCGCAGACCCGGTAGATGTGCAAAGTTGAGATGTCATGGCAGATTGAACTCCATCCCACATGAAATATGTTTATGGCTGATGTTCAAAGCTGCCGGGGCCTTGCCGGGGCCGGGCTCCTCTTCCTCCACAGGGCCATCTTGCAACTCATCCTGTACCGCGTCCTGCGGGCTGAAGTGGAATGAACTGGAGGAAACCAGGTTTAGATTGCTCAGTTTGGTTGGTCACCCAAAATGCAAATATATAGAGAAGTGATTTGAGGCGATACTGGCTGATGGTTACTAAGAGTCTAACTGTTTGGGACAACGAGCCGATGCATGAAGCTCAAGCTTCTGAGATTCTGTGGCTACTCAAGCAACGCCGGAGGCTATGTTGCTTCATGTCAAAATGAGAGCCACACCTTCTTTTTCGGCGCCATCAGTCCATGGGATGCAGATTCATGTAAGCTTACTTGGTTTTGCAAATAGCTTGGGGGCATGTAGTGAGGCCCCATTCTTGGGTTCCCAAAGACTTACAGTAACAAGACTTCAAAGTGAATACATCAATCATCACGCTAGATAGAATCCAATTTGCGGTATGGCGACACCACTAATGAAAGAACTTGGCACAACCATGTTTCAGCTGCAGGTCTGCACAAGTATCTAAAACAAGTCCATGAGCAACATCATTCGAGCAACTGGTGCGAGTCCAGCGAGCGATATCCACAACATTCCAGAACAACAAAGCCAAAGGCTTGGAACAGGCATCTACAAACACTTCTAGTCACTGACTTGAGTCAATGATACTCTAACAACAAAAGCCTAGCATTCTGCCTTGGATTGTTTCACTGTAGCTTGCGACACGGTAGCTGTGCGTTCACAAGCGAGACAGTGTCACTGTGCATGTGTGCCCGCACACCACGGACAACCATACAGGAGGCGCAGCTCTTCTTGTCCCATCGTGACGGTGAGGGTATATGCTGATGATAACCGACATGAAGAATGTGGCATCTCAAACCTTTCCGTTCATGAGAAACCTCTCCAGACCAAATTGTGACATAGCGTGACCGCCTTCACCAAAAAAAGTGCTTTACAGCTCTCACGGCGTCCCGTTTGCATCACATAGATGGGGCTGGTGAGCCAGTCTGAGCAACTCATGTGGCTTGATGCTGGACACTCTGCACACTCTGAAACTGTGGCTTCTTTTAGCTAAGACATGCAAGCAATCGACTGGACTGTGCTGGATAGATGTTCAAAGTACCAAACTCTACGGCACCTGGGTCCAATTCTCTTTGATTCTGGAAGTGTCTTATCTCAACACAAGCAGCTGCACCAGCAGTGGTGGGGACCTCTGGCTTGCTTCCGCCACGTAGCAGCGCCACCACTGCGGTGCAGCCCATGCCTTGGTGTGGAATCTCTCCAATGTTTCTTCCAGGAAGCTTCGTCCAATACAGGTTACAATTAGCTGGATTGAATGTCAAGGGTAACAACTTTGAACAAATGTCAGTGGGTTTGTGCTTGGCTCATTTCGCTGACCTGAACCCTCGATGCCCCCCTCCTACAGTATCCTTTCGTGTACAAGTTCATTCACCGCCGAAGACCAGGACTTGAACGCGAGAACTGGGTTCCATCGAGGGTAGTGCTCGCTTCCAGTCTCCAAGTAACTAGTCATTATCCTTTGGCAGGAACAGCTCTCTGCGGTGTATGTTTTTATGTCTTTTGTTTAAATGTTGCTTGTTTTATGTTTTTTCAGTGATCCCGGTCGAGTCATCCCAGCAAAAGCCAAAGTCTATTCCACCAAGCCACCATCGGGGCCAACCCCATTGGCCCAGGCCGAGCCCGAGGTCTCGTCGTCCTGAAGAAAAGGCATGGTTTCAGTAGATAGGCCAACCATTCAACTTGTTTAAACAGCTGTGTGTGTGTGTTGTTTTTTATGGGCAGAAGGGGGGCAGGTAGGCCTAAGTATAGGTAGTAGCTACTAGTAGGCTAGGCGCTACTAAGCTTAAGTAGCTTCTTAGGCTTGGACGCAGATACTTCTTAGGCGTGGAGCTCAGGCTTGATTTCTACTACTATATAGATGTCTTGGAAACCAGGCTGGGCCCCGGTCTCCATTGGACTGTAGTGCTTTAACTACAGCGGCCTTGATAGGGGCCAAAGAGGGCAAACCGACCTACAGATTCGAGAGATCCTAAATCCTTGACAATTCGGAAGAATCCTTTCAAAGGATTCTTCCTTTGATTCAGAATCTTTCTATATCTTTCTCATAGACCCTTCTGTGTTCCATGAGTCGCCAGCAGAGTTGGAAATGGTAGCAAGCTGTGTGAGCTCGCGGTGCTCGGCTTTCACGGAAGCTCCTCAATGGGCTCTTCCTCTTCATCTTCCTCGTCCTCCTCCCAACAATGCATCAGCTGCATGGGTTCTCCAGTGTAAAGAGCTGGCGGTACCAAGAGATCTCGTCAAATAAGTGCATTCCTGTGAAGACTCATATTCCTGTTTAGTCTTGAAGGGGGATTGTGCCCAGTAAACTTGCCCATTAACTCAAAAATGAAGGGGGAGAGAGATTAGCAGATTAGCGTATGTTTTGTCGATTCGATCTTAGTTGATCTCATTGGCTGCTGACCTCCTCCAAATCTTCAGGATCCAACTCCCCTGATTCCAGCAGCTTCATGAGCTCTTGCTCCTGTGGATCATGAAGAAAGAACATGACATGGGCGATTTCTACTAGCCCCAGCAGGTTCACCAAACTCAAACCGGATGTTGGACTTTTTTAAGAACGAAAAGGCATTCCTGCGTAAAGCTTAAAGATCCTGTGACGCTTTGACAGCAGAATGGACCTGAGTGTGTCTGAATGAACATCTGGAACCTATTCTGGGCGGTGATTCCTAAGTTCCATAATCCCATACGCCTCTTCCCTCCGCTTTGCCAACGGATCTGCTGCGGCCTTTTTGATCATCCAGCGGTCCGAACACATCGGCAAAGTCCTCTTGGATTGTCTCAGCCACGGCCTGATTGTACGAAACAGCAATATTTATTAGTAGCAAGAAGCTACTAGATTGGAGGCCATCCCTAGTAGGTTGGAGGCCATACTACTAGTAACAAGAAGCTACTACTAGGACCAATATTTATAATGCTCCAACTTCATCTCAAAACCAAATTCTCATTGGGTGCAAGCAAAAGTGCATCAGGGTTGCTTCCGTTGAAGTCACTTTGAACAACTTCCACTGGCTGAAGACTGTGTCTTTGATTGGCTACCATCGTGTGCTGCATGCCTGAACCAAAGAAAGCCTGACAAAAATAAAGCTTCCAGTAGCCCTCTTGCAGAAACTTGACTTTGACATATTTTATGTAACATACATGAGGACTGCATCTGGATTAACCGGTGCCTCTCGCAGGCTCTCTTCATCAATCTGGCCTCCATAGCAACTGCTTCTGCAGCTTGTGGGCACTGTTTGTTTCTAGTGGCACGGCTCCATATGGAGCTCGGACTACTACAATAGAGTCGAAAGGGTCCATTCCATTCCACAAGTCCCCTTGTCAAAGAATTGCTCTTGGCCTGAGGAAAGCTCAGCAAAGAACCAACTGGGGAAATCTTACAGAATGCTGCATGGCAACTTGGCATCTTTCGTTGTCAGCTCCAACTAGGAACGGCAAACCGCAAGTGGGCACTGGGGCAGTTCTATCTCATCTGGCTCGCGATCTTACAGAGTCCTACGATGCACCTGTCAAACAAGTCTGACAGACAACGTTGGTCTGCCCCAAAGTCTTCTGGGCTGAGTGAAGTGACGCTATGAAAAGAATGAAACGTAGCACCTTGGAAAGCAGCCGTTCAAGCGACAGATCTAGACAAGAGATATCAATGAAAGTCTTCCAACACGTTCTGTCAAGCAGCTAGGGAGATGC